CTGGTGCCTTCCCCTGATCAGCCCGGTCGCCTCCCACAAAGGGAGGCCAGACTGTGGCTTAAGCCCGCTCCCCAAGGGGAGCAGGGAGTAGGACATCCCCTGAGGGCTCAGAGTATGTGATAGGGGGCAGGCTGGGCTGAGGGACCCCCCCTCCAGTGCACAAATTTTTGTGCACCAGGCCTCTAGTCCTAATAATAAAAGGCTAATATGCAAATCAACCAAATGGTGGAAAGACCAGCAGAATGACTGGTCACTATGACAGGCACTGACCACCAGGGGGCAGACACTCAATGCAGAAGCTGCCCTCTGGTGGTCAGTGCAATCCCACACGGGGAGCTACAGTTAGCCAGGGTCATGGCTGGCGAGCGCAGTGGAGGTGCTCCTGCCTCTGTGGCAGCACTAAGGACATCCCCCAGGGGGCCCAGACTGTTAGAGGGCGCAGGCCAGGCTGAAAGACCGCCCCCCTCCCCCCAATGCATGAATGTCATGCACCTGGTCTCTAGTTTTACATAAAATTATGATTACTCAATTTTGCAATGTCGAGTCTACTTAACTGGTGTCTTTGTACTTGCAAAGATGTTTGTACATAATGTTAATCCATTTTATTAATGAAATGAATGACCCATGAGATTAAAATAGTGTCACCCACACATCTACTCCAACATTTATTATATAACATATATAAAAATTTTATTGTTTTATCTTTATTATAGACAGCATTAGAGATGTGCTCCCCTATTTTCCCCAATTTGCCCCCCTCCACCTTGTTCCCCAAACACAATAATGATGAATTGAACATTAATATAAGTAAAATCAATTGTGCCACCAAATACTCCATCATGGAAATTAAATAACTAGCTTAGCAGGAGTATATCTTTCTGAATAATGTGCCTGATGGGAAAATGTGTTCATTATACATCAAGGTGTTGTTGTATGTTATGGGGGCGAGCCCAGCACCCTCTGACCACAGTGAGAATCCCCAGAGATGGGGCAGTGGGAGACTGGGAATGAGGGTTACATGACAATGTTGAAGTTCCCTTTCCTGTGAGAAAATGTATGCTAGGAATTCTCCAGTTTCCCTCACTTAAACCCCAACATCACTGATAACACTAGACTGAGAAATCAGGTCACTTAATAGGCTGCCATATCATTTCAACATATAAAAGATTCTCAATTGTGCATATGCATAATCACTGCTTTCATTTATTATCTCTTCTCCAGGTTAAAACATGATTCTTTCTGATGTGATTAGTTTGAGATCTTTGCAATATTCCCTGTGCTTCCATAAGGAAAGAGTTTGCACAGTGTGATATAACTCAATAAAAAGTTCCAACATCAAGGATCAAGGGTCTCCCTTTCTGGTGCTTGTGAAGCAGTTACTCATATCAAAGTGAAGAAATGAAGAAAACATGGCATTAAAGATGGCTGTTCTTTTTAATATTTTTACACTAAAGTAAACAAAATTAAAGTATAAAATGACAATGCTATATGTAAGTGTTGGATTTCAGAAGCTAAACAAGTGCTAAACTCTATTAAATTTGTTTGAAAGATTAATGAGAACTTACCAATGTAACATATTCATCTAGTCCAACATTTCTTCTTATGCTCAGGTGAGGTTGTCCTTGACTGAATTCCAATCAGCTTAATGACCCAAGTGGACAAAGTCCCTGACTTACATGGTGGATGAGGTCAAGAGAAGATATGCCCCCACATGGGCCCCAGAAAGGCCAGGGCAGTTTAGCCTCAGACCCCACACTTATAGGAAAGTCTGCCCCACATGCAAATTTCTCTTTAAGCTCCAGAGTAAATCCTCTCCTGTGCTGTGCAGGCTCACAGCTCTCTCCTCACATAGGGCTAAGGTCTCTGGGAAGGCAGAGCTGTGGTCTAGAAGAAGATGAGGCTGCTGGGTCTTCTCCTGTGTCTGGTGACAGCCCCCCAAGGTGAGAGTCTCAGGGGTCAGACAGGGGTCATGGGATGGCTGTGACTGCACATGACTGACAGGGACTGATGCTCCTTTTCCCCAGGTGTCCTGCTCCAGGTGCAGCTGCTGGAGTGGGGCCCAGGACTGGTGAAGCCCTCGCAGACCCTCTCCCTCACCTGCGCAGACCATGGAGTTTCCATCACAACCAGTGGTTACTGCTGGAGCTGGATCCGCCAGACCCCGGGGAAGGGGCTGGAGTGGATGGGGTGCATATGCCATGATGGAAACACTTACTACAGCCCCTCCCTCAAGAGCCGAACCTCCATCTCCAGAGACACATCCAAGAACCAGGTCTCCCTGCAACTAAGTTCTGTGACTACAGGCGACACGGCTGTGTATTACTGTGCAAGAGACACAGTGAGAGGCAGTCAGTGAGAGCCCAGACACAAACCTCCCTGAGCCTATAGCAGGCCTGGGCTGCCAGGGGCGCTCCGGACACCAGGGGGCGCTCAGGACCCACCAGCACAGTGAGCAGCCCCAGGAATAGGGGCAAAGAGAGTTGGGGAGGGAAGGGCATTCTTGTTGGGCTGAGGGATTTCCTCTCAAGCTCTCAGTTGCCTCTAGGGAAGATTCTTCCTTCTCATATTCTCACTGTAGACATCAAGGAAGAAGAGACATTGTCTGTTTGCAGGTGAAATGTTGTCAGTGACATGGATTTTTTCATGAAGTCTCCTTCACAAATTCTAAAAATGACTTTTTTCACAGCCTTTTCAATGTTTTGCTGAGTGTAAATTCCACAGGTGGGTTGCTGGGATTGTGCTGTGTGCATAGCTCTGCATCCATCCCTCCTGGGTCACAGCTACCCTCAGTGTCTGACTCTCCATGTGCCCTCCCCTCCTGGATCCGGGGCTAGTCCAGCTCCTGAAAGCCCTGAACACACTCAGGGCTGTGGGACCTCACCCTCCCTTTCTGGGTCCACATTGATAAGCACAGGGAGCCCCCACATCCGTCCACATGAGGGACCCCTGCTGTCCTGCAGGAAGCAGTGCTAACCCCACAGTGGGGACAGGTGACACTGAGGGTTGGGATGTGCATTATAGAACTCATCCCTCCAGCTTTCCTCCTGATCCAAGGTTTTCTAGCTTCACTGCAGGTGAGATGTCCATCGGGAGCATGTTGGAAGCCTAGGAGCATCCATGGAACCCCCTGTGTCCACACCGTCCTCTTACTACTTACCGAGGAAACAGAGTCACACATACACACCGTTGCACACTCACTTATGGAAAATACATGCATTCACACATGAACAGTGATACAATACTGTTCATGTAGTTACACATTGTACTTTATGAATTCTATATACAAAAACGTAGTTATTTTTCATTCTCCTGGATGTCATATGAAATATGTGGTCTGCAGGAAACTATTATTTCAACAATGACCATGCCCTGTGAAGATCAACAGTTGTATTTCTCAGTCCATTTAGTAGGAGCTCAAATTAGGAGTTGGATCCCAACTTTGCTAGATTGTTACAAATTTTTTTATAAAAGTAATTGAATTAGAAGTGAAAATTTTCCACCAAATAAAAGCCAAGGACCCAATGGATTCAAGGGTGAATTCTACCAGAATTTCAAATAAGAATTAATATCTTTTTAATCAACTCTTGAACTCTACCAAGAATTAAAAGAAGAGCCAACACTTCCAAACAGATTTACTCAGGTGACCATTACACTCATATCAAAGCCAAGTAAAAACATACAAAATGACAGGTCAGTATCCCTGATGAACATACATGCAAAAACCCTCAACAATATACTAGCAAACTTAACAGCACATTGAAAGGGCCATTTAACATGATCAGGTGGGATACAATCCTAGCATGCAAGGATGACTCAACATATGTAAACCAATAACTGTGATACATCTCATCCACAGAATGCAGGGTAAAGTATACCATCATATAAATAGATACAGAATAAAGTCTTTAAAATTGAAAATCCCATCAGAATTATAATTTTTAACAGATAGTTTTAGAATTGATAGGCCTCAATATACTAAAGGCTACATTTGAGATCACAAGTGACATCATGCTACACAGAGAAAATTTCAAAGCTTTTATTCTTACATAGGGACCAAGGCAAAGGCTCCCCTGTAACTACCTCTATATGTCAAAACTAGAAGTCCGTTTCAGAATAATTAGATAAGAAAAAAGAAATTTTAAAAGTCTAAATCAGGAAGAAACCAGTTAAAATGTTTTTTTTTTCTTATCTGTATGCAGATGACATGATTTTGTACATAGAAAACCCTAATAACTGTATGAGAAACTAATATAACTAATATTCAGGAAAATTTTAAGATACAAAACCAACACAGAGATGACTTCTGCTCCTGCTCACTCCCTAAAAAGTGTTTTCAATATGTGGGGCTGTTTCTGAGGAAAGTGAGGGAAGAAAACTTGAACTGCCTAAACAACAATGAGATGACAACCTAATGAACAAGAACCCTGGACCTGTCTTGGTTAGTCCCCCATCATGTTCCTGGGTTTCTTACCCCCAATATGGCATTAAATCAGGTACAGGTTCCCTTTGAACCCCATAATGTGGGGACATGATGATAGGGTTCCCAAGGTTCACTTGCAAACATCTGTGTTAGGGTTTGGCTAGTGACTCATGCTGTGCGAGAATTCACAACTAAATGGAGAGATACAGAAAGGAATAGTGTTTCACATTCCAGACAAGGAAACGGCTGGTGTATCACTAGTCAATACAGGGCAGGAACAAAATGCAGCCTCTTCTTTAAAGAGTAGTGTCTGCTGTTGCTAGGTGACAGGGAAGGGAGAAGGACTGAGGGCTGAAGTTGAGACACTTTATTTGCTTTCAAGGAAACAGTCTGGCAGATGTCCTAGGGAGGTGTCTCATCTGTATTTATCCCAAGCTTGTAAAACATGCTTAGAGCAAAAGGTAAAGGATTCACAAAGAGGCACTTTGAATTGGAGGGGTGAAGGGAACTTTCTATTAACTAGAGACTCATTGGTGTGATTTATCCCAGAGCTATGAAAACAGCAGGGAGGAGGGGGATGCAAGAATGCTGCCTTGAGAATAGCTTATCTTCACCCACAGTTTGAACAGAGGGACTGTTTGCATCAGAGGAGCTAACAATTTTGAGGTTTAATTACCTGGTACTTCTCATAAGTTATGGTGGCCACAGCCGAGAAAAAGAAAGGCCCTTTTCCATTCATTACAATCAGGTTTCCAATCATAACAATATCATGTCAAAAACTTAATTATTTCTAAATCATTACTGATATTTTCATCTAGACAGATCTGGTTATGATGGAGTTTCTTCTATATCCCTATGTATTAAACTGTATCTACAACAGAGTCTAGATTTACTACCAAGACCAAGGACACACACGTCCAGGGTCCCTGTTTCATTAGATTGTGATCTCCTTGTTGTTTAGCCAGTTCACATTTTCTTACAACACATTCAGCACCAGACTCACCTGAAGGAATAGGACCCAGGCGCTCTGTCTGTGTCTCTATAGTTCATGCATCTGTTTCCCAGGGTCTCACAGAAACCCTCCACTCTCCCCCAACACTTGGTCCACTGGCTCTAGGCTCACACTCTGGTCTAAGTTTATCCTCTGATTACTTCTAGGGGAAAGTGTCATGTGGAACTTCCCATCTCCTGAACATGAACCTCCTGCACTTTTACTTCTTTCTCAGGTTGTGAGGGTTGATTTCTCTTGGTTGTCATTACTGGTGACTGTCAAAGGCATCTCTCATTTTAAAACTTCTCTTTTTCTTTTCATGACAATTTTATCTCCTGGGTCTTTGTACAACTCTCCTGGAGCATTGCATCCAATGGGGAGAGCACAGGCCCAGGTGTGGGGAGTCATTATTCACAGACATGCACACTTGGATATGTCACACTCTGGGACCATGTCCTTTCTGTCATAATCAAACCCCAGATCTCCCTATATAGTAGGAGGACATGCAAATACGGACCCCTCTGCTCATAAAAACAAGCCCAGCCATGACCCTGCAGTTCTGGGAAAGGAGCCCAGCCCCAGGATCCCCAGGTGTTCTCATTCTCTGATCAGGACTGAACACAGACCACTCACTATGGGGTTGGGGCTCAGCTGGGTTTTCCTTGTTGCTATTTTAAGAGGTAGTTTATGGAGAAAAAGAATGACTGAGTATGTGAGTGGATGTGAATGAGAGAAACAGTGAAATTGTGAGAGTTTCCTGACCAAGATATCTCTGTGTTTGCAGGTGTACAGTGCGATGTGCAGCTGGTGGAGTCTGGGGGAGATTTGGTGCAGCCTGGGGGGTCTCTGAGACTCTCCTGTGCAGCCTCTGGATTCACCTTCAGTAGCTACTGGATGCACTGGGTCCGCCAGGCTCCAGGGGAGGGGCTGGAGTGGGTCTCACTCATTAATCCTGATGGAAGTACCACATACTATGCAGACTCTGTGAAGGGCCGATTCACCATCTCCAGAGACAATGCCAAGAACACGCTGTATCTGCAAATGAACAGCCTGAGAGCAGAGGACACGGCCTTGTATTACTGTTCAACAAACACAGTGAGGGAAAGTCAGTGTGAGCCCAGACACAAACCTCCCTGCAGCAGAAGCTGTGACCACCAGGGGGCGCTCAGGGTCCATGAACCCAAGGACCATCCCAGCAGCAGGAGCAGTTAGAGGTTTGGGCTGGTTTCCTGTGTGGTTTCCCCTTCATGTCACAGTTCCCCTCAGGGAACCTCTGGATTCCTGACTCTGCACTTACCTCTGAAGTCTCTGAGTTAGAAAATCTGTAGTAAATAGAGACAACTTTCTCACGTGCACAAACTGCAGAGATTTGTTTTTCAGACACTCTGTGTCAAGTACCAATTAATGATCAAAAATTCTTCCCAAGGCACCTAAGTCCAACCAGAGGCTCTGCTGACTCAACAGGGTAGCTCAGCCTCACACAGGTGAGAGTCCCAGCCAGGCAGCAGCAGGACACGTGTGTGCTGGACAGTGGGCACCAGAGGGGAGTGACCCCAACGCCAGAGAAGAAGGACCCCAGGTGGTGATAGTCATGCTCATAGCACCAAGTGTAGTTGACACCAGGTAGAAGCAGGGGGACCCATAGCAGCTTGTACAGATGACCAGGCTGATGACAAACACACAAACAAGGGACATGGGATGATCATTGTGCTCGTAGTTGAAATATCTGGGAGGCACAGGAAAGGCCCTCCAGGAAGTCAAAGGTGCTTGGATAGAGGCAGGAAAGGAGGCTTTTATTTTCTGTGAGGTGGGGGGCCAGTGGGCAGAATTCTGCTTCCTTGAGGGTTCCAACTTCTTGGTGACATATGAAGAGGAGAAGAAGCTTTTCCTATCAGAGTCCCCTTGGGGCTGATGGAGAAGAGGCAGGATGGAGCCATCAGTTGTCAGCAGTGAAACATAAAATAATATAGAGTGTGACTACCAAATCCACATAATAACCATAAAAATGAGCAAATATGAGACCAAGGTTCATTATGTGTGAACAACAACCATATCTACATAAAATGAGTAGAAAACTATTGATTATAACAAGGAGGAGAAGGAGGGGGAAGAGG